AAGTAAAATAAATATATTGAGAATAATAAAAATATGTAAAATAATAAAAATATAAAATATAATAAAAATAATAATAAGATTTAGAATATTAAAAATATGTATAACATTAAATATTTTTAGACTTCGTTTAATTTGTAAAATTATGATTATCATCAGTATTTGAAAGATCTTCAGAATTACGTAGATCCTTTGTATTTTCAGAATTTGCAGAATTCTCAGTATTTTCAGAATTCTAGATTAAGAAATTGTTATACTGCATCATCTACGTGACTTCATTATGACTGACCAATTGCTCCGTTGACATCATATAAAATCTTATAATTTTATCTACAACATTTTCTGCTTCTACTGAACTAACTTTTTCTAATACTGACACAAATTCAATTTCATCCATTACATGTTTCTCTTTTATATCTACATTTAATATAGCATTAATTATTTCATCATCAGTAAGCCCATCTTCTGCTGCTTTATCTTCAATGTAAATATATTCTTATGTATTAAGATTACATTTTAGAAGAAGGGAATTAACCTTTCAAGTTCTTCATTATCTTTATTAAAACTAAAAGAAAACATAATTATTAAAATCATTCATATTATATTTAATATTAATATTAAATACTTACATATTCTCATCAAAAATAAAATCATCTTCAAACACATCTTCATCTTCATTATTTGGTAAAAGAATTCCTGTTTTTTTCTAGCAGTTTGAGATTATTTGAGGTGATACCATAAACTATATTTCAGCTGAATTTTGTAAAGCATCATAGATATTATAATCAGCAAGTCTTCCACAATACCATTTTGCATATTATCATATGCATTAATTCAATTTTAAACAAAAAGATATTTATAATGACATTTAAATGAATGGATGATTTCTGTATCACATAGTTAAAGAATAGTAGTAGTATTTGGTAGAAGAAATTTCACCACAATGCTATCTAATTTTTCTTGAGTTTTATCTAAAATAAGATGTACTGGTACATTATCAAGCAAATGAACAATCTTACGCACTTTTTGCTTCATTTTTTTTTATTAAGCTTAAAAATAACTTTGTTAAAAATACTAACTTACATCTAAGATTTTTTATTCTAAAGTAATAAACAGAAAGGTTTTTATAATTAAGATTTTTCATAAAACGAGGGGTTTTATATAGAGTTCTGAATGAGTTGAATCAAGTTGAGTTTAAAGATCAACTCTATTCGACTCTCTTTTTTCAAGTCAAGTCAAGTCAAATTTATTTTATAAAATCTTTCAA